GCCTTGCACATGACCAACACAAATTTTATCTCTGGAACCACATATAGTCCCTGAGCCTACCAGGAGTGATCCCTGATCACAGAACCAGAAGTAAGTCCTGAGCACCACAGGATATAGCCCCAAAACAAAAACTTAAAAATAAATTTTTTAAAACTAAGAATTGAGTTTCAATCTGACCCAGTAATTCCGTTTCTTGGTATCTATCCGAAGGGTCCAAAAACTCTATTTCAAAAAGACATCTGTGCTCGGGGCTGGAGTGATAACACAGCGGGTAGGGCGTTTGCCTTGCAAGCAGCCGACCCAGGTTCAAGTCCTAGCATCCCATAGGGTCTCTCCAAGCACCGCTAAGGGTGATTTCTGAGTGCAGAGCCAGAAGTAACCCCGGCGCATTGATGGGTGTGATTCTCCCCCCAAAAAACAAAAGACATCTATGCTCTTTTTTTTTTACGGTTTTGCCAAATTTTCCTGTGAATTATTATTATTTTTTTAATTTTTATTAGTGAAACACCATGAGGTACAGTTGTCGACTTACAAATTTTTGTGCTTGGATTTCGGTCATACCATGATCAAATACCCATCCCTCCACGAGTGCCCATTTTCCACCACCAAGGATAATATCCCTCCCCCCCCATTCCCCCCATCCCCCCCTGCCACTGTGGCAGGGCATTTCCTTTTGTTTTCTCTCTCCTTTTGGGTGTTGTGATCAGCAAAAGAGGCATTGAGTGGCAAACATGTTCAGTCCTGTCTACTTTCAACCTGCATCTCCCCTCCTGGGAGGATCCTCCAAACACCCTCCATTTGGTGCTCCCTTCTCTATCTGAACTGTCCTTTCCTCTAGAATACCCGGCTGGCCTCTTAGCTATGGAGTAATCCTCCTGGTGTTGATCTCAGCTATTCTTGGTTATTAATCTCATATTTTGTTGTTTTATATCCCCCAGATGAATGCAATCTTTCTATGTCTATCCCTCTCTTTCTGACTCATTTCGCTTAGCATGATACTTTCCATATTGTACCACTTGTATGTAAAGTTCATGACTTCATCTTTTCTAAGAGCTACATAGTACTCCATTGTGTAGATATACCAAAGTTTCTTTAACCAGTCATCTGTTCTTGGGCACTCAGGTTTCTTCCAGTTTCTGGCTACTGTAAAGAGTGCTGCAATGAACAAACAAGTGCAGATGTCACTTCGACTACACATTTTTGCCTCTCTGGGATATATTCCCAGGAGTGGTATTGCTGGGTCAAATGGGAGCTCAATTTCTAATTTTTTGAGGAACGTCCATACTGTTTTCCAAAAGGGCTGAACCAGTCGGCATTCCCACCAACAGTGAAGGAGTGTCCCTTTCTTGCCACATCCGCGCCAGCAACGGTTGCTTTTGTTCTTTTGAATGTGGGTCAGTCTCTGAGGTGTGAGATGGTATCTCATTGTGGTTTTGATCTGCATCTCCCTGATGATTAATGATGTAGAGCATTTTCTCATGTGCTTTTTTGCCATTTGGATTTCTTCTTTGAGAAAGTCTCTGTTCATTTCCTTGCCCCATTTTTTGATGGGGTTGGATGTTTTCTTCTTGTGGAGTTCAACCAGTATTTTGTATATCCTTGATATCAACCCCTTGTCAGATGTGTATTCGGCGAATATTCTTTCCCATTCTGTAGACTGTCTTTGTATTTTGGTCACTGTTTCTTTGGAGGTGCAGAAGCTTCTTAGTTTAAGATAGTCCCATCAACCTCCCTAACCTCAAACTTTACTACAAAGCGGTAATAATCAAAACAGCATGGTACTGGAACAAAGGCAGAGCAGTAGACCAGTGTAACAGGGTTGAATACACCGATATCTCCCCTCAATCATATGATCATCTAATCTTTGATAAAGGTGCAGGAAATGTGAAGTGGAGTAAGGAAAACCTCTTTAACAAATTGTGCTGGCATCACTGGACGGCTACATGCAAAAAAAATGGGCTCAGAACTCTGCCTAACACCATGTACAAAGGTAAGATCAAAATGGATTAAAGACCTCAACATCAGACCAGAAACCATAAGGTACATTGAAGACAAAGTTGGCAAAACCCTCCATGACATTGAGGCTAATGGTATTTTCAAAGATGCCACGCCACTGGCCGAGCAAGTGACATCTGTGCTCTTATGCTCATTACAGCACTATTCACGATAGCTAGAATCTGAAATAAACTATTACAACTCAGCTGGGGATAATACAAAATCATGCAACTTCTCGCCACATAAATGAATCTGGAGACATCAAGCTGAGTGAAATTAGAGGGAGAGGGACAGATACAGAGTGATCTCTCTTGTTTGTGGAAAGAAGCATAGTAAGGGAATTAAAAAATTATCAATAACAATAGACTCTGAGAACTGATTTATAAAACTAAACTTAACCAAGGGTGGGGAGAGTTAGCGGGGAGACGTGGTGTGTATGGGGAGGGAACCCTGAGACAATGGTGGAAGGAAGCAGACACTCCAGTGTGGGGTGTGGTGTTGATAAAGTATGCATGAAACCCTGCCATTAATAGTAAAGGAAGTCACAGCGCTTCCACTGAAAATAAATAAATAATGAATTAATTAAATAAATAGCCTGGTTCATGAGGTGTCCTGACACTGCATCACCTCTTGTCATTTTCCTCCCTCCCAATGGGTGATGCTAAGTTTAGTTGGTAAGGCAGTGTCTGCCAGATCACCCCACTGTAAAGAAAGTTACACTTATAACTAATAATATCTGGGGTTAACCCCCCTTAACCCATGCATATCCTGTTCTGCTAATAGTTTTATCATCCATTGATGAATCTTGGCTGTCTTGTTTTGTTTTGTTTTTTGCTTTTTGGGTCACACGCGGGGTTTCACAGGGGTTACTCCTGGCTCATGCACTCAGGAATTATTCCTGGTGGTGCTTGGGGACCATACGGGATGCTGGGAATTGAACCTAGATTGGCCGCATGCAAGGCAAATGCCCTACCTGCTGTGCTATCACTCCAGACCCTGTTATTTTTTAGAGCTACTTATTGTGTGTGTGCATGTATGTGTGTGTGAGCACATATGAAATGAAAATTTAAAAATCTGAAATTCATTCACGATCTTGGGATTTGGTAATATGTGATGGGAAGGAGTAGATCTTCTGTTGAAAATAGTATTTGTTCATTTAACCAAACAGTGTGACGCGAACATGATAACCGCTACACTACGGAAACAGTCTCTATTCTTTCCTTCAGCTTCCATCTTCTCCAGAAAAATAACCTCAAGCAGGTCATTTCAACAGATTCAGAAGACCCCTGCCTTCAATCATTCCCATCCAGTCTTCAGAGAATACCAAGACATAGCAGTTCCATGTCAGAAATCCAACATTACGGAAGCTTTCACTAGAGTTTTTGAGCTTGGATTAACCCTTTAGGTTCTGGGTTATCTTTACTATCTCCCACTCTGGAGTGTAATGGGAGATGCCCAGAAGTGCCTGAAAACAAACTAGCTCAAGTGCTCAGTGTCTTGAGAAGAAGAGGAATCTCCAATTTCCAATTGTATGCTCTCAGATGAGGAAGCTCCAACCAGCAGCTCAGTTGGTGGGAAAATCCTGTGGCCTGAATTATTGATGGAGGAAATCATCAGACAGGTCGTTTTCACCCATCCATTCAGGCCATGTTCATCTTACTGAACTCCAGAGCCTGAAACACTGCACCATCTTCCCAGGACTAAGGTACTCTGGCATGAACTCTGTAGCCAAAGCTGGGTAGCTGGAGTGTTGGAAAGAGCAGAGGCATGGAAATCCTACATACCTGAGCTCAAGTCTCTCCTCTTTCACTGGTGAGCCCGGTGAGTTTCCTAATCTGTAAATGTGAAACTCATTCACCCCTCCCTGTTATCATTCGATCAAAGAAAACACATCGGGGCTGGAGTGATAGCACAGCGAGTAGGGCATTTGCCACATCCTCCCTCCCACTGTACTAAAACGCAAGGCTGGGGGCTGGAGTGATAGCACAGCAGGTAGGGCGTCTGCCTTGCATGCGGCCAAGCCGTTTTCAATTCCCAGCATCCCATATGGTCCCCAGAGCACCGCGGGGAGTATTCCTGAGTGCATGAACTAGGAGTAAACCTTGTGCATCGCTGGGTGTGACCCAAAAAAGAAAAAAAAAAGCAAGACTTGTGAAGTCAAAGATGAATTTTTTGTCTATATCCACTAGAGTCTAGATGCTTAGGATGTAATGGGATACTCAAGGCCTTCATAGATAATATAGAAGTTTAGGGCCAAGTTTTGCATGCAGCTGATCCCAGCTCCATCCCATGGCCCTAGTGGCCCTCAGCATCACTAGTGTGGCCTGGTAACCAGAGGGACCACAAGAATCCAAGCAGACTCGCATCCTCAAGCCCTTGCATTGAACCTCCGGCCAGGTTGAAAAATCTCTGAGCAATACTTGGGAAATCCAAAAATAAAGATGATGGGGCTGGAGAGATAGCACAGCGGGTAGGGCGTTTGCCTTGCATGCGGCCAACCCGGGTTCGATTCCCAGCATCCCATATGGTCCCCTGAGCACCGTCAGGAGTAACTCCTAAGTGCAGAACCAGGAGTAACCCCTGTGCATCGCCGGGTGTGACCCAAAAAAGCAAAAAAAAAAAAGTAAAGATGATGATGATGATGATGATGATGATGATGATGAATACAGAATACTCAATTATTTAAGGAGTAAAGCAAGGACCCAATAGTGAATGGCGGCATGCCTGAATAAACTCTTAGCCGTCGGGATGAGACTCTGTCGGGATGAGAACTCGGTCAGCCTCGGGTTGAGAAGGCGTCTGGAACAGAGGCCTGGAAGGGTTCTCGGATCTCCCCGGGATGCCTCCTCTGGCCGCGGTCCAGCGTTCCTTTGACGACCGCTAAGCAGTTGCTTAGCAACGCGGCGCCCGCTCCTCCGCCACCGCTAGAGGGCGCGCGGGCGGGGGGCCGGGAGCGCGCCTGCGCGCGGGGCCCCGGCCGGGCGGACGTCACTTCCTGTTGCTTTAGGGGAACGTGGCTTTTCCCCCCCGCAGTGTCCGTCTTCCCTTCCGCTTCGCCGCCGCCGCCCCCGCCGCCGCCGCCGCCGGAGCCGGAGCCGGAGCCCGAGCGCCGCCTCGCCATGGACCCGGCCCTCAGCGACCCGCACAACGGCAGCGCCGAGGCCAGCGGCGCCGCCAACGGCACGGCGCGGCCGCCGTCCACGCCCGAGGGCATCGCGCTGGCCTACGGCAGCCTCCTGCTCATGGCGCTGCTGCCCATCTTCTTCGGCGCCCTGCGCTCGGTGCGCTGCGCCCGCGGCAAGGTAGGGCCCGGGGGCACCAGCATCTCCCCGGCGCCGGGCCCCGCCGCCCTCCCGCCCTCCGCCCTCCTGCCCTGCAGCCCTGCAGCCCGCCGGCGCGTCCCGCCCAGCATCCCGCCCGCCCCGCCGCGCCCCGCGGTGCCCACCCGCCTGGCCCCGACCCTGCGGGGTCCAGTCCGGCCCGCTCCGCCCCGCCCCGCCCTAGGCGCCGGCCGCTCGTCCCATCTGGAGCAGGCGCCCCCAGCCCATCCCGAGCTCGGCGCCGCCCCCGCCCTGCCCCGGGGCGCGGTGGTCCCTGAGAACCGCCCCCCCCCACCCCGCCCCGGTTGACTCGGGCTGGTGCCATCCCTGGCCGAGGGTCGGCGCCGCCCTCCGACACCCCAGGACGCACACCGGCCGGCAGCGCCCAACTGACCACGGCCCCGGTGGCCCTTTATGTACTCCTCCCCAAACCCACACCTGGCCCTCGCCCCAGACGCCGCTGTCCCGCAGCACCCAGTTTTATATGGGGGAGGGGATGGGGGGTCATTTGGGGTTTTGTTCTGGTCTTGCATCTGCATCGCATTCAGGAACTGCTCCTCTGAACCAGGCACCGTCAGGACCTCTTTTTTTTTTTTCCCCCAGCCTGTATTTGACCCTTGGCTTTGTGGATTTCCCCTCCCTGCAGCCCCACCTAACCATTGCCCGAGCCCAGATCCTGACCCTCTCTCAGAGTCTCATACTACCAGTCACTGTGTCGTCCCCCCCACTCCCCCAAACCAGTCCTGTCTGCTTGGGCTGCTGTCAGCTCCTTGGCCAGACTGGGCAGAAGCATCCTTGGTCTTCCTTAACTCTGCCCTGTCAGGCACTCTAGAGGATTCTAGCTCTTTGCCTCTTCTGACTTCCTTTCATTCGTCGGCCTTTTCCTCACTCCTCAGCTCCGTCTGAACTGTTGTGAGGCGGCTTCGCCTCTCTGGCCCCCTCTCCTCCGGCCGGCTGGCAAACCGCAGCTCCCTGAGCGGCTTCTGCCCATCCTGGCCTGAAGTCGAAATCTTAAGCGGAAGCCGCCTTCGCTCACAGGGCGGCTAACCAGACAGCTGCCGCTCTTGAAACTAGCTCAGACCTGGACTGAGTTGCCCAACTCGAGCAACGGCTGGGGCCTGCCCTCTTCCTTCCCCAAAATCAGAATGCTCGCCACCTGGGAGCTCTGTGAACAGATGCACAGGGGAGGTGGCCGGCAGGGCCTAGGTGACCTTCTTTCTGTGTTGCTACTTTCTTTTTTGGGGGGGTTGGGGGTCACACCCAGCGATGCACATTCGTTACTCCTGGCTCATGCACTCAGGAATTACTCCTGGCTGTGCTCGGGGGACCATATGGGATGCTGGGAATCGAACCTGGGTCATCCGCTTGCAAGGCAAACGCCCTACCTGCTGTGCTATCGCTCCAGCCCCTGTTTTGCCGCTTCTAAGCAGAGCTGTCAGTAGCCTCCACTTCCCTCCCCTGCCTTTCCGGAAGACCCTTGGTGGAGGAGAAATCCTGAATAGGTCAGGACTAAGGGCAGTGTGGTCAGAGGGGCCTCCTTCGGTGCCTTCTGCACCCCAATCCCTAGTCTCTTCCATTAACGTCTTCCAGGCCCCAGACTGTTCTGAGCCTCTGTTATTGCCCCAGGTGAGGGCATCAGAGCCCGTCACCAGGCATGGTCAAGTTAGGCTGAGGGCTGAATGACCAGCTCTGTGGTCGTGATGCAGATGGTGCTCCAGGAGGTTGGGAAGAGAAGGGAATGCACCCGGGAGAGGAGGGAAAGCTATGTGCTGGAGACAGACTTGATGGAGAAGGACAGCGCCAGCCAGATGTTGTAGGCAGAGAGCATGTGAGCTAATGCCAAGTGGAGCAGGCGACGGATCCAGCAGGGTTGGCACCGAGGCCTTGGACAGAAGAGAGACCTAGAGGGGCCCGAGTGATAGTACAGTGGGCAGGGTGCCTGCCTTGTTCCCAACCGACCCGAATTCTGTTCCTGGCACCCCATAGGGTACCATGATCCCTGAGCACAGAGCCCAGAGTAAACCTGGAGGGGACTGGAACAATGGCACAGCAGGTAGGGCTTTTGCCTTGCACAGGATCGACCCAGGTTCGATTCCCAGCATCCCATATGGTCCCCCAAGCACCTCCAGTAGTAATTCCTGAGGGCATGAGCCAGAAGTAACCCCTGTGCACTGCCGGGTGTGACCCAAAAAGAAAGGGAAAAAAAAAGAGTAAAACTGTAACACTGCTAGGCTTGCCTTCCCCCTCCCCACGCCCCGCAAAAAAAAAGAGGTTTAGATCCTCAGCAGCCTGAAATTTCTCCCTGAGCATCGCCTACCACCCAGCTAGGGCAAAACTGCAGGGAATTGCAGGCGACCTGACCCGGACTAGCTTATATGCCACCAGTAACTAGAAGAACAGAGCAGTGGTTCCTGGGGTGCCCATACCACTGGGCTGGAATGATGGTAACGGTGGATAGGGCCCTTGCCTTGTACGCGGGTGACCTGGATTCTGTCCCTGGCACCCCATATGGTGTCCCCACGCCAGGAGTAGGCCCTGAGCTGTGTGGGGTGTGGCACCCAAATTAAAAACGAAAAAATAAATGTGGTCATACCACTCTGGTCCCCTGGAGGCAGCACTGGAATGACCCAGGGACGCAGTAGCAGCCATGGGTGCAGTGAAAGGTGTGTTGAGTGGCAGGATAGGGCCCACTCTCAGTTTGCTCTCTTAGAGAAGGTCCATTTTTGAGGGGACATGGGTATTTTTGGTTGTGTTTTTGTTTTTTAGTATAGCAAGTCAAGTAAGTTTGGAAGCCTCTAGCCTCAAGTTCACAAAGCCTTTGCCATCTGATTCTCAAAGTAACTGCCAGTTTTGTTACATCCCTCGTTCAAAGGAAGCCCCTGAGGGTCGGTGGGGTGGAAACACTCCTAGACCGCTCTGTGGCAAGTAGGGGCAGCACCCAGTGCCCCCGGTCCTAATCTAGGACTCCCTCTTTGGGTGCCTCTAAAGCCCCACCCAGGTGGCATGTTTGCATCTGGTGAGGAGAGAGAAGTTGGTGGAGGTCAGAGAGTTTTGATTGCCCACCCATATCCAGCCCCAGGGTCCCCTGAAATGTGCACACGGGTAGAATTCTTCCTGGTAGCGAGCCCTTCAGAGCCAGCAGGGCAGGGGAAAGCCCACGGGGAGAGAAGGTGGAACACCTGGAGTATGTGGGGATGAAGGGGCCCCGGGAGGGGCAGCCCTGAACCCTGTCCCGCCCGTCAGAGACCTTCCCAGGAGGGAGGCAGCTGGTCCCGGCCAAAGCAGCCCATCCCCTGGCCAGCTTGTCAGGGCTCCTGCCCGGTGCCAGGCCCTGAGCTGGGTTCCCTGGACACTGGGGCAGGGAAAGCCAAGCCCTGCCCTCACAGCTCTGGCGCCAAGGAGAAACAGATGTGTGGCCAGCTGCCTGAGCTGAGTGCCCGCCCCCTCCTGTGGGTGGCACGGGAAGCGATGGGCTGGCAGGTGTGTTGGGGAGATCGCGAGGGGTGCGATGGGAGCCCAGTCCTGGGGCTTGGGCGCGCTGGCAGGAAGGTTCCCTGGGAGTCTGGAGCTGTCCTGAGGTGAGACCCCTGAAGGCAGCCCGATGGCTTCTGTTCATCAAGGCCCACACTGGGGATGTGACTGGAGTGATGGCTGACAGGCAAGGCATGCGCACGGCCCGGGTTCAGGCCCTGGCCCCACAGGGCACTACCAGCTATGACCCCCACAACACACACACATACACACACACTCTCTCTCTTTCTTTCTCTCTCTCTCTCTCTCTCTCTCTTTTCCTTTCCCCCCTCCCCCCTCTCCCTCTCCCTCAATGAAAATTGACTACTACCCTGAAAGTAGCCCAGTTGCCTATTTGGTGTTAAGTATGTGCCTACATATATTCATGTTTCGGTGGAATCACATAGCACATACCTCTAGACAGCAGTTTGCCTGTTTTTCCCCCTTCAATATATCTTGGTCATTTTCCTATGACAATTCATTGGCGATTTACCTCATTTCACACAGGGTTTGACAATTTTCTCTCCCACCTAACCACCTGATACTCCTCCCCAGGACCAGGTACTGCCGTCTGTTTTAGACTTTGGTCCAGAGTGGGTCTAAGGGTCAGAGACATAGTACGGTGGGGAAGGCACTTGCCTTGGACACAGTTGATGCTGGTTCAGTTCCCTGAGCACACAGGAAAGAAAGCAAACTGAATTTTAGGTCATTAGCATGTGCTTTCCCCGCTTCTAAGTGACTTTATTTTAGTGTGTCACGGCTTCTGTTCATTCACTTGTATTTACTGTGTCGACACTCTTGTACACGTCTTTCACTAAATGTGTTTGTAGGTCAAATATATCAGCACAAGGGCCGGTCAGATGGTACAGCTGGTAGGATGCTTGCCTACATGCCATTGGCCTGGGCGGATCCCTGGCACTCCACATGGTCCCCAAGATCTGCCAGAGGTTGCCCCAAAACAAAAAGTACAAAATGTCGGTATAGTTGGGATGGCAGTCATGGTCCTTGACCACTGCTCGGTGGCCCATCCCTGCCCTGCAGTTTTTGGGAGCAGTGACGCTAAAACAGAAACCTGGAGAGCCATAGTACCAGGGTGGATGCGTGCCTTGCATGCAGCCCGTCCGGGTTCAGTCCCCAGCATCCTTTAGGGTCTTCTGAGCCTCGTCAGCAGTAAGCCCTGAGCACTGCTGGGTGTGACCCCCAAAATAAATAAGTAAAATAAAACAGCCCGGAGACCACCAGCATCCATGTCACCTGGGAACTACAAAAAAAGTCAACACTCTATCCAAAAAATGCAGATCAACCCCAGCATTTTCATGAGCTGGGTGCTTCTGACGTCTTTACAAGTGTGAGAGATCCTGGTTTCATTTCTCCATCCGTGCTGTAGGTTGTGCCAGTCTTTGGCCATTAACCAGTTGTACTGAGTGTAATCTCATACATTGGTATTGACACGTGTCTGTGTGTTTTGTTTG